CTATACTCTACAAATAGAATATTTTAACAGTACAGCCGATCGGCTATTCTCTATAAATACCTTAATTTGATTTTCTCTTTTTTAATTACTTTAACTACTGTTTACTTAGTGAATGATTAGTATTTAAGAATTGTATTAAATTCAAAATGTATAAAAACTAAATACAATTTATTAAGTAATATCATTTATGATTTTAATTAAAATATTTAATACTAATTCTTCACTACTAATGAAAGTAATTAAATCAGGCTAAGATATCATTTAATTATTGAAAAGAAATTATTTTTTTATAAAAAAAAAATTGTTGACCTGAAAATACTATGTTTATATTTATTTTTTGCAAAAAACCTCTCCCGACGAAATTTCGTCGGCATAGGTCTATGCCGGCAATATTTTGTCGGATTAGGTTTCTCGCGACGAAATTTCGTCGACATAGGTGAATTTCGTCGGGAGAGGTTGTTTTGCCTTTTTTTTCAAATTTTTTAAATTTTCAAAATATAAAATCAGTTTCTTTACTTTTGTTTTTGGGCCAACTTCTTTAATTTAATACCTGTAAATAAGTAATACCTTAGCCTTTTTTTAATTACTTTAATTAGTTTTTATGTTTTAATTATTGTTTCTTTATTGAATATTCAAATATTTTACTCATTTCGTAAATTACTTGGTAAATAGTAATTAATTGTTTCGAATTATTTTGTGTACTTTTTTTTTTGTTCTTACATATTAAATAGTCATTAAAATACGTGCGTACGTGTACAATACGTGTATTATATATTTGCTTTCATTATACCGAGTCTTTAGGACATATATGGAAAACGGAAGTAGTATTGAAAAATACGTATGTACGTGTATAATACGAGTATTAAATGGGAGAATGCTAAATTATTTATACGGGTAATGACTATGGAAAAGTTAAAAATCAAAAGGGGACAATAGCTATACCTTGGTAATGGCCTAAACATAATGGATAATGCTCTAGACTCGTGTTATCGACAAAGGAAAAATTAGGGAGAAAAAATGTCAAAATACAAAAAAGCACCCATTAGATATTTAAAGAGTATAGGCGCGCGGCTATACTATTTATTTTATTTAAATGGACCCGAATAGCGCCTAGGCATCCCAATTTATATATTTATTTTAAAGTGTATAGCCACGCGGCTATACTCTACAAATAGAATATTTTAACAGTACAGCCGATCGGCTATTCTCTATAAATACCTTAATCTGATTTTCTCTTTACTAATTACTTTAACTACTGTTTACTTAGTGAATGATTAGTATTTAAGAATTGTATTAAATTCAAAATGTTTAAAAACTAAATACTATTTATTAAGTAATATCATTTATGATTTTAATTAAAATATTTAATACTAATTCTTCACTACTAATGAAAGTAATTAAATCAGGCTAAGATATCATTTAATTACTGAAAAGAAATTATTTTTTTATTAAAAAAAAAATTGTTGACCTGAAAATAATATGTTTATATTTATTTTTTGCAAAAAACCTCTCCCGA